ACTTCTCCTGCTCACCTTCTGACCGCTGCCTGCCCCTGCTCTGTGGTGTTTTTCAGAGGTTTCACATCGTGTGAATTTGGCTGGGACAGCTGAGTTCCTCAATTAAATGTCTTTATTCAGGATTAAAGGCAGGTTCCCCCAACTTGCCTGGACAGGAGCTTGTCTAGGAGGTGTCACTGGTCAGTGCCATGTCAAAGTCGGCCACATCAGTCACCCCACACAGGTGTGCTGATCACAGAGAGAGACAACATGACATCAGCTATAGGCCAGACACTCAGACACAAACCAATCCACCACTAAGGACGTCCACTCCCAGTTATTTTCAAGATGTGGAGAAACCAATTGATCCACCATGAACTACTGCATGTTTCTAGAAAGACTTTGTTTTTGATATGGTTTTTTTTGGTACCAGGAATCAAACTCAAGGCCTTGTGTTTGCCAGGCAGGGACTTGTGCCACTGGGCTATATCCCCAGCCCTAGAAAAACTTTGATAAGAAAGGATGTGAAGAAGAAAGAAAGCCATCTTGGGCTCAGCCCATCAAGAAAGGAGAATTTTCTTCAGAGCTAAAGAGGGTTTATTTACTTTGTAAGAGAACTAAGGCTCAGACTCTCCAAAGAGGGGGAAAAAATCAGTTGAGAAAGTTGTCTTTGTGATCGTCCCAAGCCGTATCATCAGAAGAGGGCAATGTGCCTGTTAGTGTCTGCTACCACTGTCACCAAAGAAGGCTCCCTGGGGTCTGAAAGGCACCATTTGGGGCCCCCAACAATTCTCTTTCCCTTGCACATGGCGCACTGATTCTCCAGTTAGAAATGAGCTCAACTATCACAGAAGAACAGCCGAGGGCAGAGATGAATACCAGAAGCCACAGGCCATCTGGGGAACTTAATGTGAGACAGGGCATCTTCCCACCGTGACTTCCGGAACTTCTGGCTACCCAGGGCCCACTCACACCTGCATCCCTGGGCTTCACGCTCCCTCGTGCCCACATCATAATTTGGGCCAGTCATCTGTCCACACAAGTCCTCCAGAAGTTGAAGGATGGTGACAAGAAGGGTATGGCCCAGCCAACACACATCTGTCATCTTTAGATGGCATGAGAGGGGCCTTGTGGACCCTGGGGAGTCAGAGCACAGATCTCCAATCTCTACCTGCTCCTGAGTTATCTTGGAAAATCATTTTTCTCTCCCAACCGAAATCATTTGTAAAAGGCCCACAGTCGAGGCTGTGGGGGATTCAGTGAGCTCACGCTGAAGGCGTATAGGAAGAGGTTAGTGAGAGTCTAGCTCCCTCCCCACTTGTCAGTGTTAGAACACTAGGATTTCCTCACATTCTCCGGTGTGGAATTGTTCTGAAGGTGATGCAATGACTCCAGGTTCTCAGCCTTGGCCTCATAGCCAGACCTCTTCATACTGCCTCCCCAGAACCCATACCCTCATGGCCTCCCTGGCTCCAGATATCATCCAGGCTGCCTTCGCACCCTCTATCGAGCCTGTGTGTGGAAGTGCACACCTGTAATCCCAGCACTCAGGAGGCTAAGGAACGAGGAGTGCCTTGAGTTCGGGGCCAGTCTGGGTTACATAGTGAGTTCAAGCTACATACTAAGACTCTGTTGCAACAAAATGAAACAAAGCAAAACCCCTCCATCACCATGACCTCAACTACCTTCCCAACATATGTCAAAATCCCACCCCACAGGCAGCCAGTGGCTGGTTCCTACATAAAAGCCCTTTCCAAACCCCCTTGGTTCACACAATCGAGAACCAATCACTCCTCCAAAAAACTCACAGCCCTAACCCAGACACTTCTCCTGACTCCCTCCTGGCTCTCTCTCTACACAAAAATCCCCCACGGCCAACAGAGGCCACACAACAGTTCTCACAGAGACAGCCACTCGGCCACTAAAGGTGGCTGTCCTCCACTGCCTATCCCATCGAGCCTTATAGCCCCAAACAATCTAGCTGACAAAACAGCCCAACTTACTACTACCCCAGCCTTCCTCCTCCACACACAAGCCCTTCCCAAACAACCTACTGGCCTAAGTCCATTCGAGGTGACCTATAGCTGTCCCTTCATCCTGGGCCTGGCCCTCCTAGCCACCCCTTGGAGATTATCCTAAACCCTGCCAGCTGTCAGAGCTCTCCTGCAAGCCCACACAGATGCCCTCCCAGCCTGCTCACTCACCATTCCCCTCCCCATTTGCCCTTCGGCAGCAAGTCTTCTTTTGGCCCTCTACAAACTCACCTTGCGGCCAACCTGGACATGACCATCCTATATGGGGTCTTCTCCAGCACTCCCACAGCCTGTCAAACCAGTAGAACGCCCGTCCTGGGTCCATGTAAATCACCTTAATCCCAACACTCAGTCCCAACCCTCTTCCAGGCCGCCCCTCCCCGGGACCCCCGAAAGCAAGCTCAGCAAGACTCTGGAGCACACTGCTGAGGACTCCCTTTAACTCAGGCCCCGAAGCCCTCCTCCTCCTCTTTGGCCCAACTGTCTTTATCATGTACCTGTAACTCCTTTCCCTGCCGTGGCTCCTCCCTGCTGGGCTCTCTGACTTCACTATGAATTTGATGACACCTTCAGTTCCAAAATTCAGGGCTCCAGGCCACCTTCTACACTTCACCCCCACCCAGACCTCCTCCTTCACAGTCTGTCTCTACTTCCTGTTCTCCCAAATGTGTCCCTACGCAGCACATACCTCTGACTCCTCCTCTCTCGATCTCCCACGGCCAGGGGACTAGTTCCCCAGTCCTTGACTTCACCTGCCAGAACCACAAAGAGATCTCATATCAAACCCTACAAGGCAAGAACCCCCCTGGGCACGTACCCCCTTAGATGCCTGTGGACATGGCTGCCCAGCACCCCTTCTCACATGGGCTAACACCACAGCTTTCTCAAGATCCTACATACTGAACTCTCAGATTCTGGGGAGTCACCTTTCCATACGAGATGAGTACTTGGCCCCCCATCCTCCACCCCTTTCGTCAGGAAACTTGCATCCTTAACAACCACCACCCTTTGGGCCCCTGCCTGCATTGGAAGGTCTTTTTCCAGGGGTCTCCCCTTGGGGAATCTCCCACAGAAGTGTAACATAACCCTAGAACTCCATGCCCCCAAACATCAGCACTACAGAGGGCCCCCCCATCCATGGGTCCCCACTGAGAAGGGCCTCAATTCCATGACTGATAGGTAGGCCACCCGCATCACACCAGGCTGCTCCTTCTGCCTGGCCAAAGGCCCCTGATAAGCGATTCACTTCTTCACATTCAGCCAGACCCATCCAACCCACACCCGTGTTGGAAGCTAGGTCTCCCAGCCTCCACTGGGTCTCCCTGGCTGCCGTGACCCATCAGCTCCTGACAGAAGCACGATCACTTCGAACACAAACCCTACCCTGTAGGCTCTTGGGGCTGCACATTTATCAGTCTCTACCTCCATACATCAACTACTCAGCTAGCTATCACCACCCCTGGCCAACAGCACCCAACTAAAACACAGTCTCTGGTCATCTGTCCGGGTGCCTAGACTATTCACAGGGAGTTTTCTTCATGTGTGGCGATGACACCTATAGTTGCTACCCACCACTTGGACGGAACACATACCTTGGCTAACCTAGCCCCACTCCCCCCACTCATCCATCCTTTATTCCACTGACAGGGGCCCCTGCCTCATGTCCCTCTGTGGGCCCACCTTTTCGATACTGCTCCTACAGTGGCAAGCAGAAGCACCGAAATGACACCCAGGATTTGGATGCAGATTTATTTCTGTTGACAGGCACTGATTAATCAGGATCATTCCCAGAATACTAGGCCCCAATCTCTGGTTGTCTAGGGCTTTTATATGATGCACAAGCAGGAGGTACAAAGGTGAGACAGAACAGCCTGGCAGTTCTTCTGATTAGCTAGCAGGGTGAGATCATCGGTTACAAGGGCAGATTAGTGATCATCAGCTCAGGAGGCTTAGTACAATGGTACGATCAGGCATCCTGCATGTTCGGTTACACTCTGGTGGTTACAGGGGTGAAGAAAGTGATTACAAAGCCATTAAGCAGTTATGGAGCTAGGCAGCTTCAAAAGAACAGAATTTTAAACAGCACAATTTCTCTTGTACGGTTTGTCCCTTTTACTCTTAACCACATCTGCTCTTTTGTTCTCCCAGAGCCTGTGTAGCTTTGCCCAAACACAGGCAGTTTGTAACCAATGCTGTTTCACTAGTCACCCTTACCAGCCCCACAACTTCACCCCCTCCTGAGCTTGAAGCAGCTCAATGAGGGCTCATAGCCATACCCAACCCCTTCCCTCATTTTTACTTACTACCTTTAAAATCTGAGAAATGATAGGTTGGACAACCATCTCCCCTGCCCGCTGGGTGCCCACACTCCCAAGCTGCCCAAGTTCCAAGCCTGATGCCTGCTCTGCAGGACGCTGCACACCTGTCCCAGCCCCTATGTCATGGCACCTGCTGCTATAGCCATGTATCCAGCCATTCTCACTCCCCTCATTCTCCCTTGCATCACCCCATCCAAGCTGCTCCCACAACCCCCCTACCCTATTCATAAAAGACCCAGTTCAACAAACCAGACTTGGTTTCTCCTTTGGAGTTACTCCAAGTCCCGCTGGGAACACCCAAAGTCAGGCTGTCACCATGACCTAATGGGACCACCATAAAAAGACACATACCCCCTAGGCAAGTCCGCAGAGACCTCCAGATGTCCTCAGCCACACAGCAGCTTTGCTGAGCAGTTTGTAACCAATGCTGGTTACAAACAAGTGCTCAGGGTGCCTTAGTGGCTCCTTCTTTAGCATTTGAGGAACACGCTCCTCCAGTGCATGACTGGAGTGTAAGACTCCAGCAAGCCCTACATCCTGTAGCAACCACAGGAGGGCTGCAGGACGCAGGGCTTGGTTCTGTTTCCAGCTGCTGGATTGGAAAAGCTGGTTGCCCAAAGCTGCTTTTGAAGGTGATGGAATTCTGCTTCTGGAACAGACTCCAACCTACCTTTGATGCCTCTTAAAGTCAAGTGGTTAAAGGACGACAGGTGCACCTCCTCTGGAGCTCAGTGCAGTATGACCACTTTGTTGGTATGTGGACGTCTTCTGTCTACACAGCTGGGACTTTCTCTCCCAGTACCATGATGGCCAGGCTGTGGGAAAGACAGCACCTTGTAATCAGTTGCATCTTTATCATCTATCAAAAAGAACCAAGAGGGCCAGTGGTCAAATTGGCTTCGGTCAGCGCACAACCCCCACCGCTCGCTGCTCCTCGCTAGCAGCGTCCCTCCCTGGGTTGCGTTAGCAGCCTTGATGACAACAGACGTATGGCATCCTGCACACAGTAAGGACCACTGGGACAGCCAAAGAAGCAGCTGGTGACTCACTCACTCCAGGAAGTGGTCAACCACAGGCAGTGCCCCCACCCCGCCTCTACAGGAAGCAAGCAGTCTTTCTTGTTTTAAAACACCTCCAGAGAGCTGCCCTCTGCCCCATGTGCAACGAATCTCAGATCGTTATATGTCCCCCATTCTTATTCTAGGAACCTCACTTTTCCTCTGGCATCTTCCAATCCTGTGAAAAGAAAAATATCTGGCACTTGAGGGAAGTTTGTGAAGAGTGGCTTTTTGTTCATTTTCTCAGAGACTGCCAGGGATATAGCTCAGTGGCACAGTGCTTACCTGGCAAGCACAAGGTCCTGAGTTCAATTCCTGGTATCCATTTGCTGTAATTTGGAGTTTTCCAAGGGGAAACAATACAATACAGGACACATATTTTATAAGATTTTTTCTAATAGTCACCCAAAGAATGATACACAAAAGAATGCAGGAAATCTGTCCACACACTAAAGACCCAAGAATCCAGCTTCGGGCCTGGAACCTACAGCAGTGTCCTGCATGTATCCAGCTGAAGACCTAGAGCCCATAACAATGCCTCCCACAAGTCCAACTGGAGGCCTAGAGCCCACAACAATGTCTCATGCAGGACTGTTATGGATCTGTGCTGGGAAGGCCCAAAGGTCAGTGGTGGAAGCTAGAAAGTCTGTGCCAGTGGGATGAAGGATCCGTGCCAGCAGGATGAAGGGTCTATGCTGGCAGGCTGAGGGATCTACACTGGAGCCAGGAAACAATGCTCAAAGTAGGAACCTGACTTCCCTCGAAAAGTACCACAGCCATCCTCAACAACAGTGAGGTCCCGAGCTCCTCCAAAGATGAGGAAAGCTGAGTTCCCATCAGGGAAGCCAGTGCAGCAAGCTTCTCCAAGAGACTGGCAATACACCATCTTCCCCTCTGGAGCCAGGAAGCGATGCTCAAAGTGAGGACCAGAGCTCCCCCAAAGTGAACCATAGCCATCCTCAATGTCAGTGAGTGCCCAAGCTCCCCCTCTGATGAGAACAGCCGAGTTCATCGGGAAAGCTAGCCTGATAATCTCCTCCAGGAAAAACCAGCAGCTCCCTACAGCTTCCAACAGGCTCCCAACAGCCTCTCAGCTCCCAACAGCCTCATTACTTCTTGTTCTCCAGGTCTGTCTCTTATGCTGCTGGCAACAATCCTCAGATGCGCTACTACACCCAGTAGCACCTAACTCAGTTCAGGTGAGTGTCATAAGTTGACCACCAGTTGTCAATCCACCACACCATTTTCTCAGAGACCTACAGTTGTGGTTTTTTTTTTTTTTTGTAGTTTGAATACAGGGAGTTGGGATATCACCAGTTCCAGATTCCAGGATTAGCTAAGACCTAAGACTTAGTGGTGTGATGTGGTGAGATTGTACACCACAGTTTAATGCCAGCAGAGGTACAAGGTGTTACCCAGTTGGGATGATGTGGTAAGATTGTACACCACAGTTTAATGCCAGCAGAGGTACAAGGTGTTATCCAGTTGTGGGGCTGGGGGCAGTGCTCCGTTCAGAGCAGCAGAGAGCACGTATCCTCTCCTTGCGGATTCCCTGGAACATGCCTGGGACAGGCAATGGCTTCCGGGGCGGGGGCTTCTCTCCTGTTCCATGGGGTGGGAAAGGCAGGAAAGGACCCCTCCTATAGTGACTGCCAGGGAGGAGGGAAGAACCCACAGAGCCCCTCGGTTTTAGGACTTGGGAAAAAATGTGGCTTTGTGTATCATCCTTTTAAAATTTAATTCAGAAAGGATGCGCTGGTCCTCTATGTGCTCAGTTTGAGATAATGTTCAAGGGGCATAATGCAGGCCCCCAGCTCTGAGAGAAGGGTCCCTCCAGGAACAAATGCTAGTGGGAGGACGCTTGTGGGAGACAGCCACACACATAAGAAAGACACCATGAAACACAGCAGGAAAATGTGGTTCCAACCGCAAAGGCCATAGAGAGAAATAAGAGGCAGGCTCTGCACCCACCTTACAAGAATGTTCAGTGTGCTCTACTCTCTGCGAGGCCCCAAACGCCAATATGAAGCCTGGCTGCCCTGCCCTGGGGAAGCTCGGAGCCTGCGGGACCTGAGCATGTGCTTTTCTGTCCCCCAAACCTAATGAAGTAGAGAACACAGTGAACAGAGAGGCCCAGGACCAGCAAGAGGTCCCTGTCCCCCGATCTGCAGCCTCCTCCACGGGAAGACACTGGAGGAGGGAGAGGGTGTCCTCAAATGCCCTCTTCAGTTCCAGGACCCCATGGCTGTACAGAGGAGGAGGAACTGGTTCAGATTCTGCTTGGAAAAAGGAAATTGGCAAATGTATGGTGTGTCTACAGCCCCTGAGAAAATGGGCCAGTCCCTCACTACACCCCAGCAGCTGCCCTCATGGGTGACACTGTGTGGGGCTGTCTTGGTGGCCACGTCTTTCAGGCTTGGCCACTGGGGAGCAACAAGACAGAATCAGAGGATGAGGGAGGAAGTCGGGGAGCACATTCTCTGCTAAGGTGCCCCATCAGATGCCCCTGGTTCAGCTGCAGGTCCAACTGGATTCTGGATTCCACGACCCCTTGTCTTGGTTACTTTTCTCTCACTGCTGAGACAAAATACCTGACACCCAAACTAAGGAAGGAAAGGTTTATGTAGCTCACAGTTTGTGGAGGTTTCAGTCCATACTTGGCTGGCTTCAAGACAGAGCGGCACATGGCAGAGGGCAATGGTTCATGGTGGCAGAAAACAGCAAAGCAACAACCAGAGCAAAAGGGAGGAGTGGCAGCAAGCAGCCTCTTTCTCTCCCTTACATATGCAAACTACCCGCCCCAGGGCAGGTGTAGCACTCACACCCATAATCCCAGCATTGGACTATGGATTAATCAAAAATCTAGAAGCCTGTCCCATGACTGCATGAGGCTTTCGGGGGACATCCAGACACAAAGCATAACACCCCTCTTACCTCCCTGGGCCATGGTGTGGCTTCTTAACTCCTATCCTACGCCTGGGGTGCTTCATTCTATTAATCATTTAAGGAAGTTAGTATATCAGTAGTGGAGTGATTTCTTGTGCACTTTCTCAATCAACTTCACAATGATTCTCAGTCACTATAGGAGGGGTCCTTTCCTGCCTTTCCCACCCCATGGAACAGGAGAGAAGCCCCCGCCCTGGAAGCCATTGCCTGTCCCAGGCATGTTCCAGGGAATCCACAAGGAGAGGATACGTGCTCTCTGCTGCTCTGAACGGAGCACTGCCCCCAGCCCCACAACTGGATAACACCTTGTACCTCTGCTGGCATTAAACTGTGGTGTACAATCTCACCACATCACCCCACTAAGTCTTAGGTCTTAGCTAATGATTCTCATTCCCATCCCTTATCTAAAAGCAAGGACCCAAAGCATGGAGATGTTGAACAAACAGCCCAACCATGAATATGTCAGTGTGTCACATCTGTGGTTTGTGATGGGTCCTGCATGTGGGTGGGAATTCCAGAAATACCTTTTTCAGTTTCACAGTATAAAATGTCCTAGCCTAGTTGCTAGACAGCAGAAACCATAACCCCAGGTCTAATCTTGGAGTCAAAGAGAATAAAAAGCTCCACAGAGAACAGGGATAGAATCTAAGGGCACAAACATATGATTGATTGGTCCAGGAGGTGAAGACTGAGAGGACAGAAGGTACCTGCCCAGAAACCTGTACGATAACCAGCCAAGGGTGTCATGACCAAGACATGAGACTCCATGGCACACGTGTTCACCAGCGCAGCAGATGGGACTCCGTGGCAGCCACCCCTCCCCAAAGTGACCAGCTGGCTCACACACCTTCACCTTCTTCTGTGACACAGGCAGATCACCCTAAACCTGCTCTTCCTTTAGCTCTGGGGAAGCCCTCTTCTGGGATGTCACCACATATACCCAACAGAAAGATCCTCAGAAAACAGAGATTCCAGCTCACTCCAGTCAGAATGGCCAGCAGCAAGAAAACAGAAACATAACTGCTGGGGACAATGAGGGCAGAGGAACCCTTCAACACTGCTGGAGGGAATGGAGTTAGTACAGCCCCTAGGGAAACCAGTGTGGACGGTCCTCAAAGAACTAAAAATAGAGCTACCGTGTGCACCAACTATACCCCTCTTCCATACATACCTGGAGGAATTAAAGTCAGCATGCTACAGGGACACTGCACACACACAATCATGTGCCCATCAGCAGATGAATGAAGGAAACATGGCACCTGCACGCAAAGGAGTATTCATCCACCGGCAAGCAGAAAGAAAGCATGTCATCTGCAGGAAGTGGGCAAAACTCGTGACTTTGCTGCTAGGGTTCAAGACGGCTCACCCTAGCCTGAAACAGATCTCTACACCCAGATCTGGGGCCACTCTCTGGGCCCGAGCACTGGCCATGAGCCCGGAGACCCTCCGCCGGGCCTGAAGGGATTCAAACTCTGAGCCGCGCAGCTGCTGAGGCGGTTCACTCAAACCTCCAAGACGGCACGACCTAGGCCTCCATTTACAGATACAAGTGATCAACCGCGAAATGTGGTCATCCAAGCCAAGTGGAAATGAGAGGAGAGAACTGGCGGATGGACCCCCACTGCGACCAAGGCAGGCCAGTGAAGCTGACCAAATGTGAGAAGTGGGAGGTGGGACAGAGCCATGTTCCCCCACCATCCCAACTGCACCTCAACATTTCTACCCTCTGGCAGTGAGACAGAGCTCCGGGACCGGCACTCTCCCTCCTTCCACCCCCAGGACACACACGTCCATTCCTTTCTCAGGGCCCC